GAGTAACCTATGGATTGGACCTGAACTTGAACTTGAAGTTGAAGTTGAAGCCAAAGGACGAGAGTACCGGTAGCGCTGCCCAGGCTTTGCTTGCGCAGGCGTGGGAGGCCTAGGCTTTTCAATTTCGTGTCTGATTGCCTGTTAGAATTGCTTGCGTGTTGTTCGTAAGAGTTGTTCCACGAACCAGAACCTTGCGCACGATGCTTTCTTCCTCCGACGCAGTGCTAACAGCAGCGGTGGTGGCAGCTGGAGTAATTGCGGTTGTCGCGACGTGGAATGCTGTCAGAATATGGGAGTTGGAGGACGGCAATCAAGAGGCAGAAACGTCAAAGAAACCGGCAACACCATTTAGTGGTGCTCAACGTAAGATTGATGAGAAAGTCAGGGACAAATTTGGAAAAGACCATGAAAGTCCTGAGTTCTGGCGATGGTTGCTTGGACAGCTCACAATGGGAGCTGTTGACACCAGCCATGCTGAGCATCAAGAGGCCAAACAGGGCGCCGCTGCTGGTGTTAAGTTTGCAAGCTCTCAGGCTGAGCAGGGACTGTTGGCGGCCATTGGCAACACGCCGCTGATCCGCATCAATAGCCTATCCGAAGCGACAGGGTGCGAGATCCTAGGGAAGTGCGAGTTCCTTAACCCTGGGGGGAGTGTAAAAGACAGAGTGGCAGTGAAAATAATTCAGGAGGTGAGAAAGGATCTCTTTTTTGCACCGCACTATTTCCTTCGTCTCCTACTCCTCTTATTCCATGAAATTGTAGAGTCTGAGGTGGAGTGGGTACAGAATCCAAGCTAAGGGCTTACTGACTGAGGCGGCTGGGATCTGAACACAAAACTCCGCCATCCTCAGATACAACAAATGGCCTTTGATGTGGCTCCATTCTCCGCAATTGCTTTCATCTTCAGGGTTGCTTCATCACATGTGTTTCAGTCGAAAGCAAGATCAGATTTCGGGGCCCTGTGAAAAAGGAGGATGGCAGATTCTCAATGCGTTGAGGGAGGTGGTTAAGTTTGGATTAGTTCCTGCCTCGCGCACCTGATGCGATGATATGTCTGACATTGAAAACTCTGATGTACGGTTGTCTATTCAAACATCAAAGGCAGAAGGGAAGTCTGGTGGCATCGGTTTTCCTTTGTGTGTTTAGTGTGGTTAGCACATGAGCCCCAAGCTGTGTTCAGGGGTGAAGAAGAACCCGAAGCAATCAAGTCCAGGGCTTCAGACTCAGGGGCCACGATATCCTCAGGTTCCTGAACCTGGTTTCGGGCCACCAACCAGTCACACTTGTTCAACGGTTTGGTTGGATTGTATATGTTAATCTCAGTTGCTTTCTGAGTACCCCTCAAGCTAGTCCTCTTCCCCTGGCTCTCTTGATCCCCCAGCTTACTGTCACTTCCTCAGAGTTGTCCTCAAGCCCACTCCTCCAGCCTTCTCCGCCCGTTGATTGAGCCCATACACATAAGCTGGTCTGTACTCCCATTACTCACACATCTCCGGGTTGCTTGAACCTACTCGATTTGCCTTTTGGCCCCTCCGGTTGTCCGTTCAACCCCCTGATCTCTCCTTTCCCCCAGTCAGCTCCGCTCAGACAATTACGTGTAATCCGTGTGTTCTCGCAAAACCTTCACACGTCCCCTTTCTTGGGCTTTTCCTGATTTCCATCCGACCCCTCCGTCTGTCTTAACCCCCTCGTCCCTTCTTCTCAGGGGTTCCCATCGGGTCAGGTCCGCCTAAGCTATTGCACACCATTTGCCATATCTCGTATCGTTTTCACGGCTCCAGGTTGCTCAAACCCCTCCGGTCGCCCGTTGAACTTCTCCTGTCCCCCTTCAAACCCCTCCTGTTCCCTGTCAAACCTCTTCAGATGGTTGCTGATGGTTGCCTACCCCCCTAACTTTTCCTTCCCAGGGCCTTACCTCCGGTCAGCTCCGCCCGGGGGGGCTCGTCTGCGAGGGCAGCGCCGGGAGCACAGGTGTCAGCCTGGCATTGGTCGCCCGCGCGTTCGGCTGCCGCTGCTTCGTTGCCCTACCAGACGACGCCGCGGTCGAGAAGAGCCAGATGCTCGAGGCGTTGGGCGCAGAAGTCGCGCGCGTTCGGCCGGTGTCGATTACGCATCCGGGGCACTTTGTGAACGTTGCGCGGCGGAGGGCGCTAGAGGCCGGGGGCCAAGGGCGGGATGTCCAAAAGGTGCAGGGGGAAGCCGTTGAGACTATTGGGGTAAAAGTGGGAGAGTTTGCGCCGTTGGGAATGGGAACGGTTCCCGATTTGAAGGTCGAACCAGCAGAAACGGCGTCAGGGAAGAGAGGGGCCCAAGGAGAGCGTCCGAAGGAGTCTTTGTCAGTGAGTGGATGCGAAACGACCGTTAAATTTTCGAAAGGGAAGCAGGCTGCGACAGCTGGGGCGCTGCGTACGTCTGCGTACTCTAGCCATCGAGAGGGTTCACTGGGCAACGCGCAAGCGATGGGTAATGGGAAAGCACGGGGCCAGCCAAAACTGCGGAGGAAAAGGGAGGAAGCGAGGCAAGCAACGGCGGCGACAGAAGGGTTGACTCCGAAGCAGTTGAGAAAGCTGATAAAGAGGGAGGCCGCGGCGGGACGGGAGATGGTCGTTTCGCGGGTGCGAAGAGGCGACGATGTTGCGCAAGCGTCTCTTGCTGAAGAAGTGGGCCCAGACGAGGGTGAAGGAGGGGTTGGAGATTCTTGGTTTGATGATCTTCTGGGAATGGAAGAGGAGGCCGGCAACAGCGTTCCGAACGGACAGGGAGCAGGCGACTCGAATCGTGAACGGACGGGGAAGTCGGAAGCGGGTGCGGCGCAAGAGTCGACGGAGGCAATGCCGAACGGGCATGCAAACGGTTCTCAGGAAGCGTCAGCTGGACGTATGGCCAACGGCAAGGAGGCTCGGACTGGAGAAAGATGGGATGCGGATCTAGAGGCTGCTGACGACCTGATGACGGCAGCAAGGCGGAGGATAGACGGCGGCGCGGAGGCCCGATCCGAACCGGAGACAGCCGCGGATGGTCGTTTCAAGTCGAAAACGTCCGGTTCTGGTCAGGAGAAGGCGACCCTGCGGACCCCCAATGATGCTGACGTCAGCTGCTCGCCCGAAGTGCGCGACTGTGGGAGGTGGGCGCTGGCAGACGACGTCAACAACGGGTCCGCCGACCAGAAGTTTGTTGAAGGCACTGCAACCGGCGCTGACGCGTCATATTCTCGAGCGATCGCCACTGCAGTCAGCGCAGCAGATGACCTTAGCAGCGCTTGCCCTGAGGACGTGGCTGACAGTCCGCCTCGTCCCTATGTCAGCGGAAGCGACGCCCCTTCGGAGGGAGGGCCAAGCAGCCCGTATACGCCAAGCGAGGCATGTAGAGCAGGAAAAGAAGCGGAAAGATTGCCTCAGGGTGAATCCTACACGGAGAAATCTCAGCATTCAGCGCCTTCTGTTGCTGACGTCAGCCCAAAGGGCGACCATGCGAGAGAGGGGCTCCGCAGCAGCAACGAGCGGGAGGGAAGCGAAGTCGAGGGCCTTGCTGGGGGCGGCTTCTCAGCGGACCAGTCCGCAAAGTCGCAAATCTTCAAAGCTGACGTCAGCAAAGAAGGTGCGCCAGCGCACGAAAGTGCAAGAAGCGATTCGGAGGGCCTTGCTGGGGGCGGGTTCTTCGCGGACCAGTTCGAGAACCTGGCAAACTTCCGCGCACACAACGAGGGAACGGGGCCCGAGATCTGGGCGCAGACGGGGGGCCACGTGGACGCGTTTGTGGCGGGCGCGGGAACGGGAGGGACGCTCGCTGGCGTATCGTGCTTCTTGAAGGTGAGAGCAGCGGCTTCATTGACCTCTTCCAGTGTAGTCTAGGGCAGAGTTTCGTCCTCGTTTCGTCCTTACTGCTAGCAAGGAGCTTGTGGCGGATTGCTTTCGACCTCCCTTCACCTCGCTTGCTTACCTCCTGCTTCCTCGATATGTTCTGACGTCGAGGCCTTCAAATGCTTTTGCTCCTCTTACAAAGTTATTATGATGAGGCTAGGAGACTGAGTTTTCTAGTGGGCGGTACAGCTGTTGCGGAGGCCGATTTCTTTTGTCCTCCTCGTTTCTCCTCTTCGCAAAAGTTCCTGACATGTCCTGCCTGCCCAATACTACAGGGCCTCCTTTGAAAGACTCTTGCTGTCGTTGATCACGCCCGTGCCAACAGTCTACCTTCTTCATTCAATGCGACTTTCCCAAGGGCCCTTTTCTGTCGTCGCCGTTTGATTCCTTCTAGACCAGGAGGAACACCTTTCTATTCGTTCTCGGAGCACTTTTTGCGGTAGTGAACTTATTCTTTCTGTCGGCCATCTCGAAGAAGTAGCCTTTTGTTCCCAAAAGTTGAAGCTCGCTGTTTCAGTTGCTTCCGGCTGCTGTCGTGCACCAGATTGACACTCATGAAACACTTACCTCGTCCGACCTGCAGGACCAGAACCCTGGTGTCAAGTGCTTCCTCGTCGACCCCCCCGGATCGGGGCTGTTCTACAAGGTGACACGTGGCGTGATGTACGCCCCTCAGGAGGCCGAGGGCAAGCGGTTGCGGAATCCGTTCGACACCATAACGGAAGGCATCGGAATCAACCGGATGACGCGGAACTTCGAGAAGGCGCGCCTGGACGGGGCATTCCGTGCGAGCGACCAAGAGGCTGTCGACATGGCGAGGTTAGTACCGGTTTTTTTGCCGGTCAAGTCGATAACTCCGCTATACATCGTTCGAATATAATGTTAGGCAAGCCCTGGAAGGCGGCCTGAGTTGGGTATAGTGCCGGGTTTCCTGGCACACTAAATTGACAAGTCTGTTTGGAGCTTTCTAATCATTCCGGGGGTCAAGCAAGCCCCTGGAGGCGGCTGGAAAAGGGGGAGAGGGTCCACAGCGGAACTCGTCGAAGCAATCCTTGAGTTCAGCCACGCAGTCCGCGTCCATTCCCCTGTGCAGGCGCTCTATAAAGGCTCGATGCAGGTCCTTAACTTCAGTGGCTTGCCGCCCAACTGTTAAAGCTGGTTGCCGCGCTTGACTCTCGATCCGGGCCGTCAGAACCCGGACCGTTGTTTGACGGCATCTGGAAAGTTGAGCTTGAGTCAGGCGGCCGTCGAGTCTGCTGAACTGTCGGTCACAGGGCCGGTCTGGAAGACAGCAGCGTTTGGAAACGCGTGACGGCTCATACCTTGTCCTCATGTCCCAGTTCTGTTGCCGCAGTCTATAAGGGCTTTCTACATCACAAACCCTAGGGTCTCATGTGAATATCCTGACCAAGAGTTAAGCTGAGCTAAAACGGCCTCTCATTCCTCGAGAACCTTTTACCGTCACCTTCAATGCAGGCAACTGGGATAGTCGAGCCAGTCAGATTCGCCCTGTTCCAGCAACTCTCTCTGCACGACGGTCTCTTCCTCGGGACCTCTTCCGGTATCCACTACGTGGAGGCAGTCTGCACCAACTATGATCCTCGACTCCTTTGCTTGTTTCTCGTTTATGCAGTCTTTCACGTTACGAAAAGCACTCTATGTCTGTGCTTTGTTGTAACATTCTCCAGATCCATACAATCAGCTAAACCTTCCTAATTCCTTTCCAGGCACCTCCTGCTGCACGACGGTCTTTTCCTGGGGAGCTCCTCCGCCGTCAACTGCATCGGGGCGGTGCGTGCCGCGCGCGCGCTCGGCCCCGGGCACACGATCGTCACCATCCTCTGCGACGGCGGCCAGCGCCACCTCAGCAAGTTTCACAACGCGGCGTACCTCGCTACGCACGGGCTGACACCCAGCGAGCGGGGAGCGCTGCCGCTGACGTGAGCAATGCCGTCTTTTGCGGCAAGATCCACTACCCAGCATACTTCGCGGTGCACGTGCTCGGACTTTTGGCGCGGGAGCAGCTGTACCGTTGACGTGGGCATGATGTGAGCAGGCGGCCATTGTCCCAGCGGCGCACAGCTGGCGTCCAGCGAGGAGGGGGCGCTGCCGCTGACGTCAGCGGATGGTTAGTCTACTGCAGCATGTTTCAAAACTCAGCGCTCCGGTTGGCCGCGAGGGAGCAGGGGAGTCCGCTGGTGACGTGAGCCTACGTCATCCGACGGCTAAGGCCACTTCAGCGAAACTCTACGCTTCCTGCCGCACATTGGGGCGCAAAATTGTTCACCAAAGGAGCACGGCCGGGTATTGTGAGCATGACGTCATCGAAGAGCGTTGCAGTATGTCAAAAACGCGTGAGTGAGTTGCTTGTCTTGCCTCGTGCCACGTTCGCTTTAGAGGAGGCCGAGGTCAAAACAACAAGTTTCAGCGAGCGCGTTGTGCTGCTGTTGATTTAAGGCGTGATGCTGCGGCTGTAAGGATCAGTGGCCGGTTCGGCGCATGGAGTGACCACCGGCATGTCCTCTTGGTCTCGCTTTGGTTCTCGAATCAGCTGTGTACGACACTGCTAGAGATTCGAGAGCACTTTGAAGCGGCATCATGTTGGGCCACGGCGGTTGCGAAAACGACTATTGCATCCCCTAGCAGGTCTTCTGTTGCGCTGCTGTTCAACTGGGCACGCCATGCTTCAAGGGTCGGAAGCCCTCATTCTTATGATGGCAAGTCGATTGATTAGACCACTTTTGTCACGCCGTACATGTCGTCACCTATATAAGATGGCAAGAGTCAGCAACTTGAACGTTTTGATAGCTTTCATGGATATGTAACTATCTTTGTCAATGATAGTTTCGAAGGGGAGCGCAAGCGTAGAATTCTATGAAAGGGATCGAACTCCATCATTTTAACCGTCACCGGTTTCAACACACTGACTTTGGATTGTCCGGGTCAACTTCGTGTTCAAATACAGTGTACTGTCCATGAGAGGTCGATCGTATTGCTCGGGCGCAGCCCCCCTGGCATCATTAAATGCTTGTATACGTGCTTGTATTGAGTACGTGTGGGATTATGATATTATATGCCGGGCCGTAAAATGGGGCCCGCGAGTGGTATTGATCGTCCAACGCAGTGCATGCCACCAGATTCATATGTGCATGGGCCCATGCATGCAAGTGACCCGGCCATTTTATGGTACGTCTGCATGCATGATCGAGCGCTATACCTATATATTGCTGCAAATATATTGTATGTGTTTTAGGCAATGGCATCTATAACCATGGCCCGGTGCTACCGCCTCGTCACCGGCATGCATGCCATCAAGGAGCTTGACCAACATGTGCATGTGAGCGTGAAGTTGGTCACGTGCATCTTCAAACAATATCATTTTCGGATTAGTATGCGGCGGTTCGTACGCAAAAGGCACCTGCAGCATGTGCTATAGTGATGGTACGTCTCTAATCTCGTTACGCCGTAGTCAGTGCGACCATAGGCTTCTAGCAAGCATGGCATACAAATGGTTGAGTTTGATGCCAACTTATAAAGTGATCCTAAAACAACGAATGCACAAGTCCAACCACACTGGCATGTACGTATAAAACTTCTTCTACAAAGCATGCCCCGGCCGGGCAATAAATTTGTCATTCAGTTCATATAGAT